GCTCAAATCATTCACCAGAGATCAGTTCAAGCTTCAAGGCCGCACCGCTCAGCTTTCTAATTTAGGTCCTCCCTCCCTTTTTTCTTCTTGACTGTGAAAAGAAAAGATTGTGTTTTTATTCTTCTTCTTCTTCTTCTTTTTGATTCAGCTTTTCTGTTTGCAGACATTAATGGCGAGGCTATACATGCTAGTATGGGTTTGCCACCAGCCCTTAGTGTCACCACTGCTAAAGTTGGAAAATTGGAGATCATGGTTTGTGTTCGACTCTTGATTTTTCTAATCTAGCTACACCCAGAACACATCTCATTGTTATTGAATTTTTTCAAATGGGTAATGAGTAGCAAATTCATGATAGCTGCGGAAGATTTTGAGTTGATTTCTCGAAATAATCATACTTGTTTTTAATTTTGATAGAATATGCTAGATATTAAACTGATAAGCTATTATGTTTCTGTTAGCGTCTGTCATCTCTCTTGTTCTCCACAAGCATTATAATGTCCTTTTCTCTCACTTTTCTGCTCAAATAGCTGCCGTATGTCAGTAATGTGCAAACAGAGCCTGTAGTTGTGCAAGTCGATAAACTCGATCTTGTTCTTGAAGAGAATCCTGATGCTGATGTGACAAACGGTCCAAGCAGGTACTGTTTGCTTCTACTCAGTCTTGGTTGAGGCTTTGCTTTTATAGTTTTATCTTCCAGAATATCATCGAGCCTTTCATTTTTCTTTTCTTTACGTTCAGTGCGCAGTCTCCTACCGCCTCTGGAAAAAGTAATGGTTATGGATTTGCTGACAAGGTGAGGTATCTCTGCTACTTGGTCAATACCGAAAATTTGTTCTCATAAAGCACGGAGGCATTATTAGTTTTGTACCTCGGTGATTCAAATCGTCTAATTGTTTTTTTGAGATTTATGCAAACAAAACCGATAACTACCATGTGCCATATTCTCTACAAATAGAACCATCAATTTCCACCTCATCTTAAGACCTTTTGCCATAAAGAAATGCTGATCATATATTGGCCAATATCTGTTTGTAAGTCTTAGTAGCAAGACTGAAAATGCAAAAATGTAGTGATGATCGTTATCACTGTTGTAGTTAGGTAGGCGGTTTTGAGTTTTGTTCATTTTGGGTCTTCCTTGTGCATGTGGTTGAAGACCAGTTAAGCATATAAATCTTTTGAGCAATCATGTCAATTTGCCAGAGCGTCTTTCTGCGGGTTTATAGTTCTATCCATTTCCAACATAGAGGTCCTCCTGCAATTATATCTGTTATTATGTTGATCAGATTGCAGATGGCATGACTTTACAAGTTAAGGTGGTCAATCTTCTTCTTGAAACTGGTGGTGGTGCTCACCGTGAAGGAGGGGCAGCCTGGTAAGTTGCTTTTAATGCACCCATCGTCTAGCATTTACAAATTTTGCTTAACGTCTATGAAGTGTTGGAATCTCATTACTTAGCGTCCTTTGACACATAAAGCTGGTTATTATTTTGATTGATTGCAGTTCATTAATGCCTTTCACACTCGACCTGACTATAAATGCATTGGATTGTTTCTTATGTATGTCTAAGCTCTTATGCTTTGTATCTAGGGCTGCTCCGCTGGCATCTATTACAATACGCAACCTTGTTCTGTACACCACTAATGAGAGTTGGAAGGTGAGCTCTGAGAGCATGATGTAAGAAAATCCTTTTCTGGAGAATTAAAATCTGAACCAGAATTATCTTTTACAGGTTGTAAATCTGAAAGAAGCAAGGGACTTCTCTACCAATACAGGATTTATTTATTTGTTTAAGGTATTGATGCCACTCTTTTTAGCTTGTTGTTCATAATACTATATTCTTGGTGCCTAAATATCTTTATTTCTTCTTGATAATCTTATTGGAAGATAATATTATTAATATGTGTGATGCATATACTTTCCTTATCAGAAACTTGAATGGGAAGCTTTATCAATTGATCTTCTGCCACATCCTGATATGTTCACTGATGCTAATTTAGCCCGCTCTGAAGAAGCAAATCTCAGAGATGATGATGGTGCAAAACGAGTTTTCTTTGGCGGAGAACGCTTTTTAGAAGGAATTTCTGGCCAAGCATATGTAAACATTTGTATATATGATATTTTAGTAGGATGCTTGAAGGCATTCAATGTTTTGGTGCGTAATTCGTTAGCCCTGATGGTGGCCTCTTGTTCAGATTACAGTTCAGAGAACTGCGCTAAACAGTCCACTTGGGCTTGAGGTCCAGTTGCACATTCCAGAAGCTGTTTGTCCAGCGTTAAGTGAACCAGGTTTGAAGATATTCTCTCTTAGTTTTCAGATAGCTGGTTGATGAATTTGGATAACTAAGTCTACCCGTTATTCCTGGGAACAGGGTTACGCGCTCTTCTCCGCTTTCTAACTGGAATGTATCTATGCCTAAACCGAGGAGATGTGGATCCAAAATCTCAGCAGGTCTTGAATTTCATATTCCCTATGGATATTTTCAAAGGAAAATTTTGATATGAAATCATTTTCTCACTCTTTAATGGTATGCCTCAAGCAGTCTGCTGAAGCCGCAGGACGTTCTCTTGTCTCTGTTCTTGTGGACCATGTATTTCTTTGCATTAAAGATGCTGGTTAGTTTCTGATATGCGTAACTTGAAAATATCTTTCACTTGGCTGGGGTCAGAATCTGACTCACATGGAACCATTACTTTTTTTTCTTGGGTTTAAATTTTACCACCTCATGACATTGCAGAATTCCAACTGGAACTACTGATGCAATCTCTCCTCTTTTCTCGAGTATGTTCTCACTGAATTTTAGATTTTTATCTAGTAACTTTGATGATATTGTTTCCTGCATATACATTATGCACCATGAAACTTTCTTAGTTCTAGAAAATCGTGAACCAAATTTCAGGAACTCTAGCTATTATGGTTTTACTGTATACATGTATAAGTTTGGTATTAGTCGGAACATGAAACACACATTGGATTCTGGACAAAGTGAGGAGTTCCATAAAGAAGTTAGAGATCTAGACTAGATTTGCTCTCAATTCTCATTAAAGTGGTTTATTAGGTTACATGGTTAATGCATTTAATGGGTTTGACAATAAACTTTATTTCTCTTCCCAGTGATGTTAATATGTTATGTTCACTAGAGCATCTTAATGAATTATATCTTGTTATATGGCCCTGAAATTCTGACATCGGTAGATATATATGCTTGCAGGCCTGTGTTTCGGACGGAGAATCAGCTAATTATTTGACTAAGATTTTGGTCGGTGGGCTATTTTTAAGGTGAATAGCTATATGTTGGACTAAATCCATGTTTAGAGTTATCTGTCTATAGCCTCTTTAAAGTTCAAACTGCTCCCTGTCATCATATCTAATAATTTTCTCGTCGCAAGTTTACTAGGCTGATCTCTGTGCACTTCGTAATTACTGTTGATCGTCAGAGCATTATGTTTTTCTTACCTGTGAACTTACCCTTCTACCTACTCAAAATCTTCGGTTCGGTTGGCTCTTTGGAGACTTTATCATATTACCTTTTGTTACTACTGTTTAGTGGATGCGGAATCCAAAAACTCGCTTAATGTATGCCATTCGATATATGGAGTGCTCTTTTCCCTTTTTCATTTATTTGTTTTACATGCATTTGCTGGGTTAGGTGAACTATTGCTTTATGTTCATAGCATTAATATAATCTTCTTTTGCATGGTCGCAACTCAGGGATGCTTTTTCGCGCTCTCCTTGTGCTCTTGTCCAACCATCTATGAAAGCTACTACCGAAGACCTTGCAGTTCCCGACTTTGGTATTAATAATTCTGGACTGTTTCTTACAGAAAAAAAAAAATATTCTTTTGTGAATCCTGTCAGTTGTTGAAACATTTTCATGCTGATTTATTTTCCTTTCATATATTTGGTACAGCCAAGAATTTTTGCCCTCTCATATATCCATTGGACAGCGGGCCGTGGCAATTAATTCAGGATGTACCCTTGATCTCCTTACACTCTCTTCAGGTCAAGCCATCCCCAAAACCCCCACACTTATTCTCAAAGACGGTTATCCAGTGCCAACCACTCATGGTATGTTTGTGTACATCAAGGAAAATCAAAATTTTCTCTCTTCAACAAAACTTTCACCAATTTTCAACCTTTCTCAGGTTCATCTTCAGGAAGAAGCTTGTTTAAGGATTTCTTCTTTTCTGGCTGATGGCATAGTTGTGAATCCTGGTGATGTTTTGCCCGATAACTCTGTTAACTCTCTTCTTTTCACTCTCAAGGAGTTAGATGTTTCCGTTCCATTAGACATGAGTAACTTGGAAGATTCAGCAATCAATGAAGACCTTTCTGCAAAAAAAGTTTTCGCAGGAGCAAGGCTTCATATTGAAAACTTATCTTTTGCGGAGTCACCTACCCTAAAAGTTCGGCTACTAAACCTGGAGAAGGATCCTGCTTGCTTCTGTCTATGGCCAGGACAGCCTATTGACGCCAGCCAAAAGAAATGGACAGCTGGAGTCTCACATTTTAGTTTGGCTTTAGAAACATCTCCCAACTCTACTGAATCTCAGAGCTCTCGTGGTCTGGAAATGGGTTTGTGGAATTGTGTTGAAGGAAAAGACGTGTCTATAGAAGTTGCTATGGTATCTGCGGATGGAAAGCCACTGATAACAATTCCTCCTCCTGGTGGTATTGTTCGCATAGGAGTTGCTTGTGAGCAATATATTTCGAATGCTTCAGTGGAGCAATTATTTTTTGTTCTGGACCTCTATTCTTACTTTGGTAAGGTCAGCGAAAAGATTTCGATTGTTAAAGAAAGCAAACGCCAGAATACTGTTTCTTTGACTGGAGGGTTGTTGGAGAAGGTTCCTAGCGACACTGCTGTTAAATTGGCTTTGAAGGATCTGCAGCTTAAGTTTCTTGAGTCTTCCTTCACTAGTACTCAGGACATGCCAGTCGTTCAGTTTCTTGGCAAAGATCTTTCCCTGAAGGTAACTCATAGAACCCTTGGTGGCGCTATTGCAGTATCCTCCAACATATACTGGGAAAATATTGAGGTAGATTGTGTAGATACCGACGTACAGCATGAATATGAGAATAGCTGTAATGGTCACTTAGTTAGCTGTAATGGTTCTACCCCACTGAGGCGTGTTTTTTGGATTGTCAACGGAAGAGATGATGGGCATAGTGGTAGCCCTCTTGTGACACCTTTTCTTGACATAAGCGTAACACATGTGATTCCCCTCAGTGAAAAGGATATGGAGTGCCACAGTTTAAGCATTGTGGCTTGTATTTCTGGCGTACGTCTAGGAGGAGGAATGAGCTACACTGAAGCTCTTTTACACCGATTTGGAATTCTGAATCATGACGGTGGTCCAGGAGAGGGCCTGTCTAGAGGATTAGAGCATTTATCTTCTGGTCCTTTGTCAAAACTTTTCAAAGCATCTATTGTTGATGAAAGGAAACAGGGTATTGACAAAAACATCATCTTGTTAAATTCTAATTTTTCATGTGAAAGTATCATATACGCAGATTGTTCTTGTTTACAGCTTCAAACTTGGCTAATCATTGTTGCTAATATGTGTATCTAGATGGAACTCCAGGAAATTGGAATGGAGATGGTTTCCCACACTTGGGAAGGCCAGATGACATTGATGTCTCCGTTGAGTTAAGAGACTGGTTGTTTGCTTTGGAAGGCAGAGAAGGTGTGGCAGAGAGGTGGTGGTCTAACGAGAATGAAGATATTGGAAGAGAAGAAAGGTGCTGGCACACGAATTTCCGTAATTTCCGAGTAATAGCCAAGAATACACCAAAGCATGTGGATCAAAACGGGACAGAAAACCAGAATGATACTCACAAGTACCCTGTAGACTCAATAATTGTAAGTATCTGTACACTATTCCATAGCTCAATGATAACCTGAACTTTAAGTGTTACTGAGCCCTTTTTTGTTTTATTTGGGAAATGCATTAAAGGTCAGTGTCGAAGGTCTACAGACATTAAAGCCTCAGATGCAGAAAGGGACCAGTTCATGTATTGGTTTGCCCTCAAACGGAGTTCACGAAAATGGTTACCTGCCTGGAGGGATAAACGTTGAAGCTAATATTGTGGCATCTGAAGACAAATCTGGTCATGATGACACATTGAACTGGGTGGCTGAAAGCCTGAAATTCTCTGTGAAGCAACCTGTAAGTGAAGCTGAGCTCATTGCTCTTTGCTTCAATTCCTTTTAGAAAATTTAGTTTCTGTAACTTTGAGGTTCTTCCCTTTTTGATCTTCGTTCTCTGCAGGTTGAGGCAATTGTTACAAAGGACGAGTTGCAACATCTGACATTCTTGTGCAAATCTGAAGTCGACGCGATGGGAAGGATAGTTGCAGGGGTTCTACGTGTGCTGAAGCTTGAAGAATCTGTTGGCCAGGCAGCTCTAAATCAACTAAGCAACCTTGGTACACTTATTTCGAACTTTGCTGCTTCTATAAGAGAATAGTTTTAAATTTCTCCAGTTCTTGAAGAAATCGATTGATGTTGCAGGAAGCGAAGGTTTTGACAAGATGTTCTCCCCAAAAGCGAGCAGATCAGGCACTCCCAAAAGCTCACCTTTTGCTGCGTCATCAGATTCAATGAGGGAAATTTCTTCACGTACAGAACTGGAATCTACCATTTCTTCCATTGAAGAAGCGTCAATGGAGTTAGAGGCCAAGTGTTCAGCTCTAGCTTCTGATCTCAGCGATGCAGGATCAGAGACTTCGGCAAAACACATCAACGACCTCAAGCAGAAACTCGAGAGCTTGCAGAGCTTGATGGCAAAATTACGAACCCAAATATAAAATTTGTATACTCCCAATATCAGGCGGGAAGAAGAGGTGACCAGCTAATTCTTTTATGTATATAGCATATATATAGAGAGATGTGAGAATCACTACTTAAAGCGGGAAAATTTTGTATCCTAAATACGCCCAGAAACGAAATTTGTGTATGCACATAAGCAATGCTTGTATTTTTGCAATACCCAAAAGAAACTGTCTTTTTGGATAAAATTTTGAGAGATATACCAGAAAAGCTCTGTTTTTTTTTTTATATATATACCAGGAAAGCTCTGTTTTATTTTTTCTACGTTCTTGATGATTGATTTGAAACTCAGAGTTAATCAAAGAGATCCCTTTTCGTCTCTCCAATTCGGATCCAATTTCAGTTTGTGGATAATGCTTGCTGCTTATGGGGAGAATCTTGTTTCGAAACAACTCTTCTTGTACATCAAAGCTCTCAAATTATGCAGCTGCCAAAACGTTGGGAAACAAGTTCTGTTGATCCATGGGAACTCTTTGACAAGTGGGCTTGGCTCCAATCTCAAGTTTAACAACAGGTTGATGGACTTGTACGCGAAACAAGGAGATATGAAACACGCACGTAAACTGTTCGACAGAATTCCTAAAAGAGACGTGGTTTCTTGGACAGTAATGATCTCTGGATTTTCTGAGTGTGGACGTCACGAGGACGCGTTGCTGTTGTTCAAACAGATACGTCCGGAAGAAAGAGATGTGGTTTCTTGGAATGTAATGATCAATGGATACACCGCCGCTTCCACTGCAGATACTTCGTTTCGTCTGTTTCAGTTGATGCTCGCTGAAGGTAATCTATACTCTACTACATACTTCAAAACTTTTGCGAGTCAGATTTAATAAAAATAGCTTCTTGTGCTATGTGTGTATGTCAGGGAAGAAGCCAGACTGCTATACCTTTGGGAGCCTCTTGAGAGCTTCTATTGAAGCTAAGTGTCTTGAAATGGTCAGTGAGTTACATGGATTTGCGATCAAGCTTGGTTTCGGGAGATCAAAAGCAGTGATTAGGTCTCTGATTGATGCATATGGGAAGTGTGGTGGCCTTGACAATGCTAGCAAATTGCTTGAGGGCACAATGAAAACAGACCTCATCTCTTGCACTGCTTTAATTACAGGTCTTGCACAGCAGAACGACTACACAAGTGGTGCTTTTGATATCTTCAAAGAGATGATCCTGATGAAAACTCAGATGGACGAGGTTGTAGTATCCTCAATGCTTAAAATATGCACCACCATCGCATCGATATCCATTGGAAGACAGATCCACAGTTTCGCCTTAAAATCCTCCCAAATCAGATTCGATGTTGCTTTGGGTAACTCGTTGGTAGATATGTACGCAAAGTCAGGGGAGATTGAGGATGCAGTCCTTGCTTTTGAAGAGATGGAAGAGAAAGATGTGAGATCTTGGACCTCTTTGATTGCAGGATGTGGAAGACATGGGAATATCGAGAAAGCAATTGATCTTTATAACAGAATGGAGCATGAAGGGATCAAACCTAATGATGTCACATTTCTTGCTCTCCTCTCTGCTTGTAGCCATACAGGAGAAACCGAACTTGGCTGGAAGATTTTCAACACAATGATCAACAAGCACGGGATCGAAGCTCGAGAAGAGCATTTATCTTGCATCATAGATATGCTTGCACGCGGTGGCAACTTGGAAGAAGCTTATGATCTGATAAGATGTAAAAATGGTATTACTAGCTCATCCACATGGGGAGCTTTTCTTGATGCTTGCAGGCGCCATGGGAACGTGCAACTCAGCGAAGTAGCAGCCACAAAGCTTCTGAGTATGGAACCGAAGAAACCAGTCAATTATATCAATTTGGCAAGTGTATATGCAGCTACTGGAGCTTGGGACAATGCTTTGAAGACTAGAAAGCTTATGAGAGAGAGTTCTTGTAATAAAGCTCCTGGATACAGCCTTGTGTATTGAACAGAAAACTATAAGACAAAAGTCTCCATAAAGGGTTTGAAGATACAATGTAGCACAAATGTTTTAACACTACAGTGGAGTTAATGAGGCCATAGATAACATCTCGAGGTTTCAGGGAATAGCAACAAAATTTCTCAAATCGTTGAGTGATATATATGAGTTACAATAAAACAATGGATATCAGTTCCTACAAGACTCGGATTGCTACTTGGTAATCACGTCCCAACGCCATATTGTCCCGTCCTCGCAGCCAGCAAGAATTGTGCTACAAATGCCATAGAAGAAACGGAGTGTGTCAGGAATCAAATGTTTGGTTTTATTTGCAGTAATTATTGAGTCATAAAATCATGAAGTTTTCAATGCAGTGGTGAGAGAGAAGATGAATATACCTTCCATCAACGGACATCGCGGTTTGCCTGATTACAGACTTTGATTGATTGTGTGATAACCTATTTAGCAACAGAGAATCATGTCAAGTCTACAAACGAAGACACCAAAGTGAAGCTTAATCATTTGATTACAGAAACATTGTGTCTGAGTCCACAAGTAACTTACTTTGTAATCAAAACAGGAGGGCAACTATTCAAATCCCAGACATAAATCTTTCCTTCCTGATTCCCTGATAACCAATCAGCCAAGAAAATTTCAGAAAATGGATAAGAAAAGTTTCAAGTATATATATAATGAAGATCTGTATATAATGGAGCTTTCTGCTTTACCTATTGCAACAGAATTGAAATGGAGGTCACAAGAAAACTTGATAAACCAGATATCACACATTGGAATCGGGTATCTTAGTATAACATCTGAAGTGCCCTGCAAACGAATTTAAAAAAACTTCAATCTGTAACATTTATGAATCAAAAGAATGACTCTGTTATGTTTGGAGCAGAAATGAGATCCTAACCTCTCCAGGAGAATTCTCTTTCAGTTGTGGTTCCCACAACAGGATCTCATTGTCCACACTCTAAATCAGATATGCACAAAAGAGTCTGTGAGATTATACACCTTTCGGTTTTTAGACTCAAATGAAATATTTTTACTCATCATTGACTAACTAACCTTTGAAAGAATAAAATCACCAAACCAACGGTTACAATCTACATAATTTGTATGAACTGAAGCTGTAAATACCTACACATTGAAGTAAAGTTATCAACAAAGTCCATCAATACGTGTCTGTCACTTGTTGTTACAAGACAAGGAAAAAGAAAATACTCACAGGGAATTGTACAAATTTGGTGGGGAATTTTGACGGATCGTCCGTCCACGTGAATGACTTCTCGACATATGTCCAAAACTCTGAAGGCAGCAAAATAATAAGATCATACAATCGAACCACAAGCCATATTTCTCAGCAGGTTTCAACAAAATGGAAGTTCCTTTCAAGTGTGCTCAGGTTTCACTCTTACCTTTCATTGACCATATTTTAATGGTGGTGTCCATACCACAACTAGCAAAACGGTAGATATCAGAGGGATGAAAATCCTACAATTTCCAAGATAAGATGGTTATCCTTAGCATGTCTCTATATATCAAGTGAAACTAACTGAATCAGATAATTGTTTAGTTTCATATCCATTCTGATTAAGGAAATATAAAAACCATGTTGGCTCACCACACTTAGAACTTCATAGCGATGACCTCCAGCTCCAGCAAAAATCAGAATACATATCCCAGTTTCAACATTCCACAATCGAACAGATTCATCCTGATCCAATCAAAACGTAAGAGCTCTAATCATCAACTAATAAATGAATTGCAGGACATTATATAGAGAAACAAGAGATATACCTTGCTGGCAGTAATCACAAGTTGAGGTTTCATAGGTTGTGTCCTGATTTCGTTCACCGAGTCCCCGTGCCCCACAAGGCTCTGCACATGTGCAAGCACAGATTAGACAAGAAAAAATATTGTATCGTTTGCTAAGATACTGCTTAATGTCATTCTAGAGCATATTAAAAAGCAACAATACCTTATGAATCGTTTCATTGTTGACGTCAATGACTCTGATTATGCCTTTTACACCTCCAGCCACAACAAATGGGTTCCCATTAACGCCACACGCCCAACTTACAGTGTAAAATGACTCCTCCTTCTGATATCCAGAGCACATGGACATATACCCAAGTGGCCTCAATGAAACTTCATCTATTTTTTTTATTTTTCACAAGTTATAAATGGAGAGCTAGTAAATATATGTACTCCTTACATCTTCATCAGCATAGGATTGCAATGCAGATATGGCACCATCTTCAAGACAGTTGTACAGAGTAATCTAGCATAATAAGAGGTACAGGACTGGTAGTAATGAGATTCATGAATCAGCTCAGGAAAAGGTAAAATGAAAGTTTCCATTGGTTAAAGCTTTTATGGGAAACTAAAGAATATTGCTAACTAATAACTCTATCCATCAAATGGCAATTCAACGGAAACTATGGAAGATTGAAAAAAATCTACAACAAGTTAAGAAACTACATTCACATTGAGCAACCGAACAACCAGATCAAAAAGGACCTAATCAAGTGTGTGAGATTATCGACTGACTCCACTAATTGGTTTTCAAATGGAACCCGATAACTTTCACATTGTATCAGAGCCCACTAGTTGCTGATGAGACCTAATAAACTCTCACCACAAAAAATCATTCAATTATAAAATTCAATGAAAACTGGGAGAGATGACAAAATTTACAGCTACTTAAGATATCTACATTCACATTGGGTAACCGAACAACCTTACTGCAGAAAGGAAAACTAGTAGAAATACTACATGTAAAAGAGGATGAGACCTAATCAAATGTATAAGATTACGACTTCTACCCCCGAGAACTTTCACAACCCTCATTGAAAACACTATCGAGCAATCAACTGTATAAGGCAGTGAGGTCACTCCAATTAGTTTTAAACAGAAAAAGCCATAAACTTTCACAAAATCTGCAATACCAGAAAGCTTAAACTAAACGATTCAGAGTTCACTGATCAGCTTAACCATGTCCGCAAGTTTGTAAAGGAACCCATCAAGCAAAGTCTCAATTTTTCCGACTATGGAATCGAACAGCATCTCAAGGCAACAACCAAAAATCCAAAATCAAACAGAGAAGGAAACATCCTATTGTGCAATCGATCTCAATCAAAACCTAAAAACACCTCGAATTGAAAATTCTAATGGAGATTCGCAAAGAAGAGAACTTTTTACCCGATTTCCACCAGCGGTAACGAAAACGTTGAAGAAGCGAGCATCAAGGAAGTTAAAAACAACAGCATACAAAGGTTTCTTCCCTTCTTGGATCCTATTGGTCACTTTGTAAGATTTCTTGTTCGATGGAGTCAAAGACCCAACCAGTGACTCGTTCCCTAAAGATATCTTCGACATTTGAATCTCTCGCGCACACTACTGTGAAGCTCGCCAGCCTCATGCAACAACAGGTCTTTGTAAGTTTCGATTAATACATACATGATACATGTAAGGGGTTACTAGAAGTACTGTAACCTAGATTTGACCTGGCGACAAAAAATAAAAAGTTGGTCTTGACCTGACACAACTTACCCACGAAAGAATAGCAAAATTTTGTAAGGAAATCATTACTAATACGCAATTAGCACTAAAAATGATTAAAAAAATTATCGAATATTGAACTGATTCGATCGAAATTTACCTATTTCCTTTTTCTTTCAAGTATATCTGATTAGATATGGTCGGAATTCGTCCAAAAATAAAAAGATATGGTCGGAATTTTTGAAGTTGATAATGATATTTACAAAACTACAAACTGCTCCCCGAGAACACAAAATTAGCGTAACGATAGTAAAAGAAAAATCAAAATGGGGTATCAGTGTCTTAAAAAATATATATAAATATATATATATATATAATTTTACAATATATATATAATTTTACAATGTAGTTTTCCTTTTCTTGTCAACAATATATCACTCTTAGCAAACCCCTTTTCAAAAGAAGAAGAGGAAGAAGTATATATATATATCTTATATTAGAAAACTTTCGACGTCAAAAAGTAACATATGAACTGTTAGATCATATACTTATTTTGGACATATATATATATTCTGTATCTGTATATTTATTTTATTTTTTTTCCTAAGAAGAAAAAGTTTGATATTTTTCTTTTTGTGGAAAGAGGAGGAAGAATCATACAAATGCGGACTGGTCTACTTCAGCGAGATCCACAATGACATACATTGGATATGAAGAATATAAACGAAGAAAACCATAAACTGATGACGCCTTGCTTTTGCTATACATAAAATCTCAATCGTTTCCATTGGAATTCTAGAGTGTATCTCCTTTACCAAATCCCGGGAAAGTTCAGAGTTCATTGTCATTTCAAAATTGAAATTAGGGTTTTAACCTTTCACGCTTGCCTATATATTTTATTTAGCTGGATACGGTTATATAGTGTCGTCACATGATACGTCTTCCGCTGCCTATATGTTTTTTCCCCTTTAGTTTTCACAAAAATAATTGTGTGAATGTTTTTATTCTATATTTGGGGCATAATTTTTATCAACATTTACGGTGTCATTTTTTATTTTTCACCAAAATTTTAGAAGTATTTAAATATTTTCATATGTTCAAACTAAATTAAAAAAAAAATCTTCAAAACTAAACCATGGATACTTGGAATAATGCACTTACATTACATGGATAAGCAACGCTCATCTCGGCTATGCGGGGCATACTCTCCCAACATATGTGAATTGACACTTTGCATAATTAAGTTATATAGTCGCGATAAGACGATACCGTTGCATATCATAACCTCAATCGCATAGGGTCCTACAATTATAACGACACATATAAAATTCAAATCATGCACATAGTCCCATGACGTAGGTCATTTACCTTTTCTTATCAGAACCCTCCCACTACTTCGAGTGAGAGGAGAATGTATGGAGAGAATAAGAAAGTGATGCAAAATAGACTTACACATTTCACACTTAACATTAACAGGGATCACTTCCATTTGTCAACCACCTATCTAAGGTGAATTATGTTCATAAACGTTGGGCTTAAGCCATAGTTTACCCTGCTTATGCTGTGGGTCGGGTTTGTGTTAATCCAAATATAAGGTTGGGTCTAAGAACGCTCAAAGACATGGCCCAAAGTTTGATCATATATTCCATCGGTTTTTGGAGAATAAATTTCATTTTGTCTTTTCGGAAACATGTTATTTTCTCAAGAGCACTTGCCATATTTGGAAACTGGCGAAGGAATTGAATCCTAATCTGACAAGTTCACCCCATGCTAGATCAACGAAGACATTCTCTGAGGAATGAACCTTCCCATTCCTCTCTCCATAAAAAAGAAATCGTGGTCGTGGTCGTGGTAATAGTCTAATAAAGGTGGCCGAGGCTAGCTATTTCGTTGAAGATGGCTCTTATATAGACCGATGCCGGAGATTTGGTATTGATTAGTCCAACTTTTTGCACTAAGAGCCAATAGTTCAACTGATAAAAATCTAATATTACATGTTAATATTACATGAAGATTTGATATATGATTAGTCGATGGTTCGGGTGGTTCTAAAAACAAAACTAATATTACATGTTGTGATTTTGGGCCTCGAGGAATTACGGGCTTAGACCCAAAATATAAAAACTTTTATAATCTAAACTTTGCAATTGTGCAATCTAAATTTATGTAACCTTTAAATTGAAGTGCAATCTAAACTTTTATAATTTATAAATTGGAGACATTTACAACGAGGTCAAAAGTTTAGATCAATCTATTACTATGTGATATTTTCGAGAGGGAATTACGTCGTTTTCCCTTAAAAAAGCTATATGACTTCGTGTCTTATCTATAATCAGGTTCTTACGAATAAATGAATATTCATAAATAATATAAAAAAAACAAAATGAATTGTGTAATGGATCTTAAATCCGTTCTAGACAAAAAAAAAAAATTCAATGGTTTTAAGTTGTTGCTCTTTAGAAATATGACTTTTGTACCAATTCTATCCATCTTGGTCTAAATCAATGTAATTTTAACTTTAGTAAATATTTAAATTCTATTAATAAGCGACGACTGAAAAAAAAATATGAAAGTCTAAGTAATCGAATTGACGGAAAGTTACCAGACGTAATTAAATTAAAATGAAAAAAATTCATTTGTTGATAAGAAATGTAGGATGGGAATTAATCTATAATTCCATTTGAGAAAACTCCTACCATATCTATAAATCAATCCAGTTCTTCTCATCAAATTACCAACAAAGTTTTTTTTTTTGAGAAAAAAATTACCAACAAAGTTTTTTTTAAAAGACTATTTAATTTAAGAAAAAAAGGTCTCTTGTTGTAAGTTCAGATCTTTCTCTTCAGTCTTCTCATGTTATTTCCATGGTTGGTCTTTAAGAAATTTTACCGTTTTCTTATATTTAATGCGTTTTTTTTTCGAAATTAAGCTCGATTTGTCATGTAGCAATCATGATTTGTCGATAATCACATTTCTCATGCCTTATTGTTACACTCTCTAAATACGTGCGTATATATGTATGCATATAAACGCACATATATTTTTCTACGTGTATATATATATATATATATATGCACCAAAGCAACACACGATCTCTACAAGATTAGTGGATCGATTAGTTTTAGATCTGAAAAATAAAAACCATACTTTGTTGATCGATTTTGCATAATCATCTCTGTAAGTGTATATCAACACAACACATATCGTGCATGCCCATTTTCATTTGTTTATGGTTGTTTATATTATCCGCGGAAAATGTTTTTGTCAATCATAAAATTTGTCTGAATATTTTCTAACATATATGTACTCTTATTGATTTTTCTTCGAATTTTCTGTAGAGAAAATATGGAGAATGAATTGGATTTAACACTGAGGTTGGGTCTGCCGAGTCCGGTTGTTGAGACAGAACTGAGCTTAAACACTTCCAGCACTAATCAGGTTTTGTTTCATTAAATTTTATATATTTTAATTCTTCTTCTGTTTTTCACTATAATTGATTGATGTGGGCATGAATAAATATGAAAAAATCGTACACAGTATCTGATGAATTAATCGTAGACATCTAGTGACAATAATCACAATCTCACTTAATATTCATACCAAAAAAAAACATTCAACTTCTCTTTTACTAATTTACTTGAGAACATTTGAAATTTCATGTTTATCATAAATCAGAAAGTTTTTGTTTTCCTTTAATTTAAGTTCATTGAACTATTATTAAATTCATTAATCTTAATTTAAAAAATAAAACGCTAACAACCACACTGTCTTAAAGGTAACAATAACAATTAGTGGGAAAAAACATTAAATCCTTATCATCATTTCCTTTTGACAGTTAATTTCCCATTATAAGTTTATAACAGCGATACATATGGACAATTATTACATTAATATGCATTAAATGCTCTACTTAATTAAAATTTAAAATTAAACCAAAAGCAGGGGATCATCGTCAACGGTGGCCGCCGAGAAAACAACAACGACGGCGGAGAGATTTACCGTCGCCGTCGCATTCTCCGGGAAGAAGATAATGCCAACGTCCATATCAGATACTACAATCTAATCTTCAACCACTTTGCCGGCATCGGCGAGACCTTGAATTTCAATCCTTATCCGATGCCTCAGTCTCCGTCTTCGTCGTCGGTTCCGGCGCCGGCGAGTTCTACGGGGAGTGACTATGTTCTGATTGATGTTCCTGCTAGGAGAGCACGTCGTAATAACTCTTTGGTGATTGAAAACGCTCTGGACGCAAACGCAGACGTGAAGCGGCGTCGCGGCTGCGGTGGCGGTTGCGGTGGAAGGATCGACGGGACAAGGAAGTGTACGAACATGAACTGCAACGCAGTTACCACTCCTATGTGGCGAAGGGGTCCACTTGGTCCCAAGGTATTTTTTTTAATCTCTAATTTTTTTCAACTTATTTGGATATTAATTACTTTGCTTAAACCTAAACTAATTGAATGGTTTAATTGGTAAAATTGTGTTTCAGACTTTATGCAATGCTTGTGGGATAAAGTTCAGGAAGGAGGAAGAGAGGAAATCCAAAAGGAATTGAGTGATTGTTGTATTTGAATTTGATTAAAAATAAAATAAAGAGAGAGAGATTAAATGTATGTTGTTAATTAGGCATATTTATATGTCTCTGATTAAGCTTTGTGAGAGGAAAGCTAAATTTTGGAGATTAAAGAAAATTTTAATGAAAGGCCGATTATTTATAAAGGGAAGATTTATGAATTTGCAGCTATTTATTGAAAAAACAAAATATAGCTGTGGATAAATTCTATAACGAACCAAAATTATTACATCGATAATTATACAACGGACAAATTTTCCGTTTATTTATACGTCAAACGAATCTTCATACAACACGTTGAAAACTTCATTTAAATTTGTCAACATTAATCTGCAAATTAATAATAAGCAACTAATCCTCTTTTAATAAACATATTATCGGATTTATAAAGTTTTAACTAAACGATGCTAAATTGCTGCTGATTGCATTAATTTTTTTATAAAATTAAAGCATCCAAACTATTTAATTTTCATTCAAAGAAACGAAAAACTTGTACAAAGTGTTTGCTAATTCTCTCTTTTATATATATACTTTTTTTTGTGTCGACAACTGCATTTCATTCATAAGAAAGAGATCTTACAATAGAATTATAACTGGATGTGCCATCCGATCTACTAAACCCCTTAAAAAGGCGTAACTAATGTCTTAAAGAGAGTATTACTATTACCCCCAACCAAGTGTTTGAAATTCTACCAAGATACACTTGAAAACCTATAAGTGAATGCAGAAACCTAAAGAAAACTAGCCAAATACTTTGATCTCTAATTATAAAATACTATAAAATAACAAATTTGCATATTATTTTGAAAAAAATAGAGGAGAAAAAACAAAATTTCAAGTAAAATATAATTTCTGTCAAGTTTTTGGGCTTACGTCGTTAAAGCATTGGTATACAGAAATGCTGTGCTTTTTCTTCTTCTTACCATTTTAAAATGAAAGAATTACAAATGGTGTTAGAATCCTACATTGGGAAATTAAAGGGATTAACACTAATATATAAGGGACTTGGGCCTCTCCACTTATCGCAAATTGGTTTTAAGTTGGAAACCCATGAAACTTAACATGGTATCAGAGCCTCGTTTGTTGACCCAATAAGGGTGGCCCAAAAATGGTTTATTATCGGTCTTAAAGTAGAATTCGGTTCGAGATGGGCTGATAAAAGCCATCATCTCGAGGGGGCATGTTAGAATCCCACATCAGGAAATTAAAGAAACTAACACTAATATATAAGGGATTTGGGCCTCTCCACTTATCACCAATTGGTTTTAAGTTGGAAGCTCATGAAACTTAACAAATGGTTTGTATGGTTAAAATTGTATATCTATCAGGATAAGATTTTGGTTGATAAACTAAAGGCTGGTTATATATAGAAATAAATAGATTCAAAATCTAGTGATGTTACAACTGTTAAATAAATATAAGCATGACTTTGTAATTTTACTAAAAAGGGACATTTTTCTTTAAACCGATGTAAATGGTTTTGTTTTGTTTGTGTTCAAGTTGCTGCATATATTAATGATAATTATTAGTCGGAGAGCCAGTTATAACTGCAAAACCAGTTACATTGGTATTAGAGAAAGAAAAAAATTGGTCAACAACATATTATTGCAAGGAATTCACTTATTTTTGCTTCAATGAACATACAATTTAATATTGAATCAACAGGAAACGGTTCTGTTTTTTTTTTCTTTTTATCAATATGAAAAATATTTTTTTCATAAACGAATAAAGTGGCAACATATGAACACAATTTTCTTATGTAGCACTTCGGAGTTCAAAAAAGGAAAAAAAAAGAGAGAAAAAAGGTCACTCTAACTTCTAAAACCCATCAACCAAAATAACAAAATCCTAACCAGAGACAATCCATTAGATGTCATAAAGCATGCTTACTAATTACTACCAAAAACCATAAGCTTATATAAAACGCTGCTTATGTACCCCAAAATGATTAGTCAGAAAAAGAACATAATTAGCAATTTCACAAACCATCTTCAACACTGAGTCGCCTGAGCTTGCTTTTCTGGCGTATTCCATCATCTCTGCTGTCTTCATTGTTGCCTTCGATATCAGGAGAATCTTCTACAACGTTTTCTTCTTGAATCACAGAACCTTTGTTCCTCAACAGCGTTCTTATTGGTGTTGTCTGAGAATCTTGTGAGACTTGTTTTGATGCCAAGTCACACGCAGATGGAGGAACTTGAGTTTCCCTATGTGGCATCAGCTCTTCTCCCACTACCACCATTTCTCTCATAAGCTATGCAGGAATCACCAAAATCCCAAAATCAATATATACCATTTAAAGAATTATCGTTAACCAAGGAAACAGTATTTTGTACCTCCCAATCTTTGTAATCATATCTAAATACGAAATGGTTGTAAACGACCTCCCCTGACATCACCAGGTTTGCTCCAGGTGCATTCCTTGGCACTGAGGACATATGAAGAAAGTGAGATAAAGTGTGAAAATAGTTTTTTTGGGGTTATAGGATGAGATCAAAGACCAAAACCAGACATGAGGGAAGAAAGTTATATCTTACTGGCAAAATGAGAACCATTTTCATCGACAATCATCTCAACTCGTCCATCTTTCACCAAGAATGATAGTGCAAACAGATTCTCTACTGTTTGTGCAAATGATCTCCTGTTGAGCACTAAATTTTCAATCTTGACACGTTTGTTTTTCCGCAAGATGTTAAACATTATTGCCATGTTATTGTCCGTATCAGTTTTCTTTTCAGCTTCTGTATCATCAACCTGAAGGAGGAGGATATGACAAGTATCCATATCAGTTTCCTTCCTAATTAGTAATTAACATTCAATCATAGTAACAATTGACAAAAATGCAATACATCAATTGCAAACTAATCCATATCAAGCATGCCATTCCAATTTGTAAAGAGAAAGACCATTACACGCAGCTTGGTATGCAGAGTAAACCTAGAGATGCAGCAGTTTGGGACATAATATATACACTACACAAGTAGAATCAGTCACAAACTAACGATTACTGGAGAATGCAAATCAGTTCTCACCTCCTCTGGCTTAACACCTGCACCAGGCTTTGAGCGTTTTCTGTATCCCGATGATCTTTTCCTTTGTTTCAATTCAGTATCCATAGGACCCATCCTGAAAGAGATGCAGAACATAAATAAACAAATATTACGAAGTTTCCAAATCAAGTAAATAAGTTCATATCCTAATAGGTAACAAAATCTTCACTTCATTTGTTGATAGAGAACTCACATTGTTGGAAAACCACATGAAACCATGACAGCAGAGCAGACAGCAAAACCAATGTCCTTCCACTTCATGGACACTTGCGTATTTTCATCAGCATCGATCCCTAAAGAAGCCTCCCCAAACCCACGGATCAAGGCGTTAACAAACTCAGCTGGAGAAACGCCACTAGCAGAATGGGATTTCACAGATGAAACCACTGTATTCGCTAAGTCCCGAAGCGCCTCAGCATCTGCGATTTGCTCTCTAGGCTTATGAACTGCGGAAAAAATTGTAATCAACAGCACCAAAAGAAAACACTTTTTTCAGTAATATACACAACATAAGAACTCAAATGCAGGAAGATAGGGAAACAAACCATAAAAATCACAAATTTACTGAGAAATCGGAAGAAAAAAAAAGAACTTGATAAGCAATGAAGCAAAAGACTATACCTTTCTGATGCAGATTCTCAACCTCGTTAAAGATACGATTAAATTTATCAGAATCAACCGTCATCAAATCATCTCTAGAATCTGCAAAAATAACAGTAAGGTCAAGAAAAGAAAAACAAAGCAATCGCAAAGTAGAAAGACGTAAAAGAAAGCGACAAAAAAACCATTAATCTTGCGACTGAGAGCGAGGTACTGAGATCTTAAAGCCCTCCGATCAGAAGCTCCATGTTCGTCTTCCTGAGTAGGCGGCTCATGAGGCCGTACAAAGCCAGCTCCGCTCTTACTCTGCCTCTCCTTCTTCACAGTCTTACGACTCTCCGACTCATCGGATTCTCTTCTCCCGCCGCGAGCTCCGGTGGCTTCAGCCTCTCGCTTTACCGAGCTCCTCATGATTGGTTTCCAGAGGGAATAAATAAAAATCTGAATAAACGGAAAGTGGAAGGAAGAGGTTAAAAGAGAGGAAAATAAACCCTAAACGGCGAGTAGGAGATGAAGAGATAGATTTTGGGGAAAGGAAGGAAAAGACGTCGATGGATTTTCCCGCCGAGAAAAATGGTTTTGGTATTTTCGAAAAAGAATATACTGTAGAGAGAGAGAAAAAAACAAAAAAAGAATTTTCCTGAGACTCGAGTTCTCGTGCCCTGGAAGTCTTTGCCCAACTTGCCTCGCCTTTTGTTATTCTTTTATACCATTTTGTAGGGGTGAGCAATTCGATTTTCTGGTTTGGTTTCGGTTTAGTTTATTACGATTTTACCGTTTATTGGTTTTACGAAACCATACATATCAGTCTGGTATGGTTCAATTTCTCCGGTTTACTGATTATTGTAAAATTGAAGAGTACACCAAATCGAAGGTGTTTTCCCAAAATTAACAAGCACATAGACTTTTTAGGATGAAAATTTTGAGTCTAACTTTAATGTTAATGTCTTCAAGAATCGATTAAAAACTCTCTAAAAAGACAATTTAACGTGATTAACACTATTAATTTAACACTCTTGTCCGATCAGATGGGTCTGCTCGGCGACGTGAATTGAATACGAAAGTTCTGATCCGGTTTAAGGCCTCTATTGCTGTCAAAAGCAAAGAAAAGCTGCGTTTCGGACACAAAAGCAAACACATGTATGTATGGTGGAGTTAACTCATTCCTAGTACTTCTACAGAAGCAACAATGGTTGAGTTTTGGGCCAGTCTTTAGGCTTTTACCTATAGCGGCACCGGTTAAGGCGGTTTTGATAACGTTGACCGGGTCTATGATCCCATCTTTCACCATATCCATATTGGCACCATGAAACAAAAACGCCAAACATATTCAGAAATTGATGAGCTTTGCGTTTTCTCAAACTCACTACAAATCTAACCTGTTTTGAGATGTTAGAAGTATGAAAAAAAGGTATTTTGGAATACCTTGTATCTGAAGAAATGTTTTTTTTTCCTTTGTTTTTTCTTTTCTTTTGGGTGTGTTTGTGTGCTCGTTCGCTGGTCGGTAGGAGCACTGACCCAAGCTCAAATACCAACTAGCCACTTGCAACAAACACGTTCAATGTCAAGTACAACTCTCAATATAGTCTTTTTGTAACAAATAATTATCCACAAGCCAAACTTGAAAGTGGTTCGCGTAAAACACATCAAAACTTTTCAATCAACAGTGCTTAACAAAGATAAACGAAGGAAAAAATTAAACTTTTCAGTTTTTAACACAAAAGAAAAAGAAAATAATTAAGAAAACTTAAAATTTATATATAATGTGTTTCGTCCCCAAGTCTGGGATGTGTAACTAAAAGAAGCTGATGATGAGAGAATTTCACCAGCCGAGACAAAGACACACAGTAACATAGAGTTTTAGAGACTCTTACAAACACATCACAAGCGAGAGAGAGAGACAGAGAGACGTGCCCAGAAAAATATTACATGGTAGAGTGAATGTAAGACCACAAAAGATAAAAATAAAAATAACTGAAGATGAAATCTACTACCAAGACTTAGAACCATATGGACACATCTTGCTGCTTCTGCTGCATACCATCCATCGCTCCTACCACTCCAGGCATTGACATATCGTCTCTGTAGTCGAATGAAGCCAAATCAAACGGTGTAGAATCAAACACAAGCTGAAACCTGTTGCTGCTACTGTTGTTGTTGTTATTGTTATGAGCAGCTTCAAAGTTGTTGTTGTTGTTGTTGTGTGTAGCGTCGAACTTAAACCCATTATTGTTTCCTTGGAAAAACGCTTGGTTGTTGTTGTTGTTATTAACTCTGTTTGGGATGTTCAAGTCTTCAAAGAAACCTCCTTCGACCATGTTTCCTTGGAACTGGAGGTGTTCTTGATGATTCTGGACAGTTGGCTGAAGCAAAGACACGTTTTGAGTTTCCATGACCATAGAAGTTTGGTTGCTCTGGACATTTCTGTCGTACATGGACATGAGCTCGGAGATCATCTTCTGTCCATCTTCAGGAACTCCAATACCGGTCAAGTCGATTGGTTGAGCCACCGAGTTCACTGGCCTTGGCTGAGAAAATCCAACTACAGGTTTAACTTCATTGACATGGAACCTGGATGCTGCTGCTGCTCCATACGGTAAGCAACTCCCTCGGTTTGGACAAACCAACTGATGGTTATCTCTTGCGTTCCTATCAATAAATCCCCTGCTGATCTCGCTATGCGCACATCCAAGATTCTCGCATGTGAAAACAGTTCTGTCCATTATAGTGTTCAGATCCCTGTTTGGTTTCCTCTTCCTCATGAATTCCGAGTTTCCCGACATGACTTCTTCCTTCACAGGGAACTCATGGATTTTACCAGCCATGGCAAAGCTTGAAGGATTCATCACTTTCTCTGGCTTGAGCTCTTCAACTTCATAATGAGCCTCCTTCTCGAAACCTTCAACGTCGTATTGAGTACTATCATTCATCAGAAGAGAGCAACTTCCGCCAGATAAAGAAACTGGAGGGCAGGACTCAGGGTAAAGCTCTCGTGCCAAAGACTCCTCTTGGTTAATAATGGCCAGCCAAGTAGCACTCTCTTTAGCAGTCATCTTATCCTGCAAGCACTTAGATTGCCTCACGAGCTTACGGATCTTGGCAATATCAGGAAACATATGCTTGATAACCGCAGTCAAAACGCCGACTTTCCACGCCTTCTTCAAATCATGAGGCTTCTTGTAAGGAGCAGGACCTTGATCTTTAGGCAAACCAAGTTGAGGCCACCACTCTTCTTTCCCGTTAGGCCACCATGGAGGAGGAACTCCTTTCTCCAAAGGAAACCTTCTCTGAGGAGGATCACAGTGCTGCATCAACGCAGACAAAAGCGATCCAAGAGTCGTGTCTTGAAGCTCTTGCAAAGTGTGTGGAGTCGGTCCAATAGGATTGTTACCTTCATGAATCCCAGGGATATTGTTCTCCGCTTGGTACTTGGTTATAGCCGCAGGACCGTTACGATCGAACCTGACTTTATCTTTCCACCACTCACGGAGATTATCCGATGCACCGGTGACAGGTTTTCCATTCTCAGGGATGATACCGTAAACAAAGCCCTGAGCTTTACACACTTCCATCATCTTCAACATGTACTTCAAGATCCCGTCTTGAGCTCTAGACATTTTCTTCCTCCTCGCTTGCTCTTGAGACTGCCTCTGCTTTGCAGCATCGACTCCTTCCTTGCTCTTGTCCTGTTCCTTGAGACGTTTAAGCCTCATTTTGTCCCTCCACATCCTCCTCTCCAATTCATCCACATCGATCTCGTCGTCGGTATAGTCATCTTCAACGATTGAGTCCGGTTCAGCCTGTGGTGCTGGACAGAAATCAACTTCTCCGAGAGACCCGGAAGAGAAGAAATCCATGTTCCCGCACATTCCCATCTCGTTGAACATCATCGTGACTCTTCACAGTAAGACCAGAACCGATTAACCTGTAAGAAAAAAAAAATCATTACATAAATCAATTACGTTTTCTCAATGGAATCATTAGAGAATTTTTTTTTTCATTCGAGTCTAACACAAAACAAAAACACAAACAATCAAATCAAACCCAAAAACCAAAATGAAAAAGGGCGGTTTTTTTTCGTATTCAATCACCGGTTTAAGAATCTCTCAATTAAAAGAAGATAGATGAGATCGTATATTGTCGTCTTTAAGAGTATCAAATTCTCACTCCGAACATAATCAATCTACAGATTCGATTTCCAAAATATGGGATGAGATCCTAAGCCTAGAACGACAAATAAAATCCAGCGAAGATTTGGAAAAAATCGAGTAAACCCCCAAATATAGAAAGGATCATCTCTGAAAAGAGAAATAAAATTCAGCGGGAAAAAAAAAACGAGGCTTAAAAATGTAAAAATCGGGATATATCCTATAGATCAACAATACTAATATCTGAAAAAACAACAAAAAAAAAAAATCTATAGTGAACAAAAATTCATCAAAACAAAACTGGAAACTTTAGTATTTCCTCATCTACGTATTTAGATCGCGGAACCACTAGTGATCTGCAGTAAAACCAATCGATCTACCAAAACCCCCGAAGAAGAAAAAAATCGGAGAAATCAAACATCGTCTTCAGTATCAATAACCAATAGATAGAATCAAGTAGTTACCTGGAGATAAACAGGCAGCCCAATAGAAATGATAGGAGTAAAATAAAAAAGTCTCTGACTTTCTCCTTTCTTGGTTAAGGGACAAAGAAAGAGATGATGATAAAACCCTAATTCACATCAAAAGCTCCCCGAAAAGTTAGAGACGAGATGAAGATGAAGGAGAAGAAGAAGAAAAGTCGACGAAAGATCACGTGGGTAGAAAGCGACTTTTGTTAATTGCGTTTCTTGCGTTTGTGGAGTCTCTGTAGATCAGGGAGAGAGAGGGTAGAATATATATATTACTATTATTTTTTTTTTACGCAAAATTCATTTAGTGACATTTGATTTTTCATTATTAAACTAATTTCAGAAATAAATAACAAAGCGCCTTTTGGACACTACTCACTGCTCCTCGTTGGGGGTTACTTTTGTACACTTCCATTTTCTTTTTTTATTTTTTATTACGCGGTATGGATTTAAATGTTTTAACACGTATAATTAAATGCCGCGAAACAACAAAATACGTTATTTCTCTTCATTTTTTTTTATTATTCTCGATATAACATTATCCATACCTCAATTAAATAAGTTGCTATAAAAAAGTATGAATAATATTTTACATCGTATTACAAGCGAAAACTTACGTCATCGACAACTATTATCGATTAGGACAACAAATGTATACTCTGGAGAGGTAAGAAAACATTTTAATAAGTTTTCGAGCTCTCGATTATTATAACTAATTATTATCACGTTCTCCAACACGTTTGTTGAAACGAACCAAACAGTGTGTTAAATTTTATGCTTTCTTTTTGCACTTTTCGAGCCTCCTAAAATCCCAACAAATAATTATAAATAAATAAATAAAAAACACAGATCTAAGTGAAGAAGTGGACTGAAAACTCGTTGAAGAGTAGTAATACAAACATTTTACAAGATGAGTCTGAAGACAAAAGTTGGACTGTGAAGATCAATGAAGTTGGAGGTGTTGGGATTCAAGTGTTGGAGATAAATAGTTTCTCTGGGTTCTTCACTCACTCCACTTTGTGTTGCATACTCTAATGCCATCTCGTAATCCACCTGAATTCACCAGATGAGATAATGGATTCAGCAAAAAGAGAAGTGATGATACAGAAGAAACTTAAAAACAGAGAGTGATTGTTGCAAAAACCTGTTCCACATGCTCAGCAAGCTTTTCTTTCAATGTTTCTTTTGTGATTATGCTTTTAGACACTTTCTCAAGCATAGCTGTCTCTTCCTCTCTGTAACGCTTTCTCATTGTTGTATGTTCTTCGGTCATTTGTTTTAGAACATCGTACACTGCACCCGTTGCATCTGGGATGTATCTGGAACATTCGGTTTTTGCTTAGTTTTTTGTTTTTTTCAGGTTTTGGAGCAAAGACACGACTCACTTTAGGAAGAAACTTTTTTTTCCTACCTGCTCAAACTGCGCTTTCGCTCTTGTTGTTCGCGGGCTTGTATTCTCTTAACTATTTTGGATTTCAGTTGGATGCAGCATTGTTGAATCGCAGACTTGATGGAAGAAAAAGACCAAAAGTTAGCTTTAACAAGTTGCAGATAAAGGTCGAAAAGTCTTAGGTTACCTTGACTGCAGTAGCTATCTCACTGATGTCATCTCCTATGTATTCTTTCCCTGTCCCTTTGAAAGGAATTTTTGTACTCACTATGCTCACAAATACTCCTATTTTATCTTGCGTCTGGTTAATCTTATAGCTATTCCAACTGCAAAGTTTTTCAATTCCCATTACTTAAAAAGGTTGAGAAAGATACCGAATTATATGAGATAGAGCAAGCTTAAGAAGAAGTCTCACTTGATTCTCTTTAAGGCTGTTCTGGTGACAACATCACCTCCTTGTTCAAAAAGGAGAGGAATACGGTTTGCAAAACGGAATATGTTGATCCCCTGTCATTTCAGATAACACAGATTCCCAAGAAAATTCATAATTAAAAGATATATCAAGAGATCGAGATAGATTATAAAGGATGTCAAGAAGATCATTTTTATTTCCTAAGTCGAGAAGCTTGTTTCCAAATTTTTGTTTATCTTTCTTCATGGTTCCATACTTCCATGATTCAGTTATATGGCAACACGTAAGAACAAACTTAACCCCTTGAAAAGTCTCATTTGAATGTGTTTGCAAGCTTTGCTAGGAATGAATATACATGAATAAACAAAAGGAAGATATGACTTGCCTGTTTCACATCTCTTCCACCCACACTAACACCAGCTTCAACAATGAAAGGATGACCTTCAAAGACCTGAGCACTGAACATAGTTTCCAGGAAGAAGTCAACACTTGAGAGAAAAAAACGCTCAGATTAACGACAAAGAAGTTAAAGCTTGCAGATGACATTTATAAAATAACTTTTATAGCACTCCATATTTAAAACAGATGCATTTGCAGAAAAATGAGGGTTGCAGTGACAACCTGCCTGAGTGTGTTGCCACCATATCTGGATGCAGCTCCTTGATAATCCCTAGACGAAGATTGTATTCTCCTGCAGGGCTAAGACACTATAGGAGAAAAACGCAGAATAATTAGAGCTAGCTTTCGCAATAATTCAGATGCTCAAACAAATTAATCTAGACTCGAAAGAGATACATGGATGATAAAGCAGTTCCCAGTGAACAGTTAAGAGATATTAGTTGCTTACATCACCACTTGGGTCGTCGAATTTAGCTTGGCGAAATAACTGATGTATGCGTACCATTTGCTGAGATGTCACAGATTTGACAGCCATGTTAGGGCTGAAATCGGGTCCCATTTCCCCTGAATGAAAAACAAGCATAATCGTGACAAAATTTGACTCAAGGGAGCATAGGCTTAGTAGTATAAGAAGGGTATCGATTATTTTCTTTATACTATAACCGGAAAACTAAAGCAGAAAAATGGATTCCCGGAATCAGCAAACATAATCCTGACATGTCATACAGAATCTATTAACTGGATATCAGATCATTTCCATTGGCCAGGTAAAAGTAATGCATGTGTTGCAGATATATTAGACAATTCCAAACTTCGATATAACAAACGAGACCAGTGTCATACTTACCAATTAATCGCGCTGCAAGGTTTTTGTTAATATTCACAAATTCATTCTGAAGAAACTGCACAAGCGTCTTTTTGGAAGCGTCTGTAATAAGGCGCTTGATAAGCAGCAAGTCAACTGACGAAGGATGGTGCTTTGTCTCGATAGGAATTGGGGGCATCACATCAGTCCTTCGAGTAAACTTTATAGTGACATTTTTCCTACATTAAAAAAAATTGAACAACGTAATAATTCTGGAAATAAACAGATATAGCTATGTGACAGAGCAGTAAGAAGACAGAGAAACAGATATCATACTCGGGTGTCTCTGATATAAATCTAAATAGAAACTGCGCATAAGGAGTAATAACAGCCATTTGGCGCATATAATGCAAGATCTTTGACTGGAAAAGAAAAAAAAAAGTGTTAGACAATTGTACACGCACACACATCTAAATAAATAAGGTACAGCAAAAGGACGATCTACACCACGTACTCTGTATGTTGTCCAGTTTCCCTCAATTACCACCTGTATTTCGGCACCATGCCATATCTCTTTGTTGGCCTTCTTTTCGTGTAGATGAATATGAGGAATGTTCCTGAAAAATTCAATCATTTGAAGACCATTCTTTGACGCTGAGCTAAATGAGAAGTTTCATAAAGATTTGAAACAGCCAAAGCATCCATGGCTATAATCATGAGAAGAGTGGAAACTTCGAAGGATTCTTGGCGATTATCATTACATGCACAAACATAATCAGTTAAATAGATATCCGCTTTCAAGAAGCCGTTCATGTATTAAAGGGGTACCTGTGAATATCAATATCCAGTCTGCAGAAAGTAACATAGTTTTGACCCTTCATAGATGAAGAGATCTCTATGGGGAGGCCTGTACTCATTTTGGACCAAATTAAGGCCTGCATGCAAGGAAAAAAATAGAGAAACTAGAAGAGTTAAAAAGGTTCTCTAGGAAAAGTTTAGATATGAAGGGCAACATTTCAGATATCAAACATGCCATATCAGAATCAAAAGAAGCAAAGGAAACAAACGAGAGCCTGAGATTCAAAATAAGAGAAGAGACAAGTACCATCTTTGCACCCAAACCAAACTTTCCACGTGTTTGCTTCAGTCCATACTTTGTACCAGACAAAACTGTAAGAAGAAATAATATTGAATTTAGCCTCGAGATAAAAGCTTACTATAGTAGGTTGATATGCCAGACTAAATTAATATAAGTGAGGGTGGCCATAAGCTTTTTACCTCTCCCAAACATATTTGGGATGTCATCGTGTGGCATCCCCTTACCATTATCCTACATTATGATCAACTTAAGTCATGTCTCAAAAAATGCATAAGAACATATTAAGGATCTGCAGGTACATATTTGTATATTTAATATTACAAATTTGTATGGCTGTCACTACCCCTTGAAACTGAAATTGCACACAGAAATTTCTGGTGAATAAAACAAAAATGATTCAAATGCTCACCTTACATGTGACCTTGTAATACGATGCTTCCCCACGGGCCTTTAAAACCTTTGAGACTCCAGGCTCTTTGTTTTTCTTTCCCGATGCCAAATTTTTTGCTTGTATCTCACTGGCACGAGCTTCCTTTACTAACCTTTTCTACATAGCACGAAACAAATACAAAAATTAGAACTGTCAAATGATCTGTCTAATCCATAAATAGATGGGTACTGACAACCTAGAAGATTGCAGAAACTTCTTGAAAATTAAATCAAAAGCTACTTAAAAGCACAAGGATTTAACCAGAAAGGCTGAGAGTAATAAACACAGAGTTCACGCACCTCACGGGCCTTCTCTGTCTCATAGTCATCATACAGCTGCGTGTCAACACGTTCCCGATCGATAAGACCAATCATGGAATTAAACTTAGATTTTACAATCTCTTCGCTTCAAAAACAAAACAAGACAGTCAATTTTACAGATGAGAAGAAACCTGGTCAAGATGAAACAACAACATTTCGCGCAAAGTAATTGTCTTTAAGCCAAACTAAGGAACGCACATTGTTACTTCAACTTCAGGGAGCTCTGAAATCGACTCAGCAGAATCAAGAGCATTTTCAACAAGCTCTCTCACTGTAGTATAAAGCGACTTCCCTGGCTGAAAATTAATAATTCAAGAATTCATCATCAAACAACTCCGATTGAAATTACAGAGATGAAAAAAAGTAATGAAC